AAAATAACTCCACCCTCAACTGTGTAAGGAGTTACGCCTTCTCCGAAAAGTTTATATATACTGCGGAAGGGCGTCAAAACAGATATAATCAGTCGAGCCTCCGATTCTGTATAATCGAATATTCTATACTTCATTGTACTTCATTCTGTAACATCATATATAGTTTCCATAGTTCTCATTAAACACCTCACTTCTTGCGAACATACTGTTGCGAGCAATATTTATTCATTTCACACCTAACCTACCTCGCGACAGTCTACTTTTATGCCTGACTCTGTTTTGGTGCTGCAGATGTTTCATTTTGCTTTTCGGAATTTCCTGAGCAAGAAGAAATTTCTTATCCTCTAACTACATCTTGTCGTATCTATATAACCTAGGCTACTCGTTATTGCGTAAGTTTCGGATCAGAGAATTTCGCGAAATTTCCCCCTGCACCCTTTTCCACGCACGCGCTGATGCATCCCTATTTGTTTATCTATACCAATTGTTAAGGTTTACTTCGTCTCGGCTGTTGCCCTTGCTTGCCTATATTGCGTTGTTCTATTTATATTTATAATTTCTGTACGATAGAATAAGATAAAATAAATTAATTAAATAAATAAAATAAAATTTAATATTCCTAAAGTTTATTCCCTTGCTGCGCATTCGTCTCTACCACTCCGTTCAGCGATCATTTCGTAATTCGAATTTTCCACGCGCCGCTTTTCATCGCGTCTTCGCGTTGTTTCCTCCTCCCTCGTCCCCTTACCCTTTGCGTTATCGCTGCTTAACCGATTTTCCCCGCCTTTCCTATTTAGCGGATGACAGTAGGAGAATAAATGATGTGCACCGAAATATTTGATCGGAAGTTACTTTATTTAAGATATCGGTTCACGGGTTACACAGGTCTAACGTTCGGAGTGACGGGTCAGTAACGAGTATATAAACTTCCGCATTCCTGTTGGGTTATATAGTCGTCCTTTTATACAAGGACGGCTAGCACGCCTAAAAACGCGCCAAAAACTGCAGAACGGAAATGGGAATTCCCCGAATTGGGAATCCCCCGCATAAGGCCCTCCGAGAAAAACCCGGACCTTTTTAATGGTCATGAACCGATGATGACCTGAGACTTACAACCTACGGATTTTTAACATGTAACGGTAAAGCCGCTACACCTATCACGCCCCAGTCTCCTTCCACAACGCTACGTGAGCCCATTGCTCTTGGTAAAATTTTTCCTCTCTCTCTCCAGGTGTTTTCACGCGGTTCCTAGTTCGCCCCCTAATGGTGCTGTGACCAGGCTGACGTCTGAGCTCTTTGCTCCAACACCTTCGATTCAGAGGTCTGTCCGAGCTCTTGAGTCGTTCCTCGTACCGTTGCCCGCTGTTTGTTGCTGCTTCTATTTGTTGCTGCTGTTTAAGCGTTAACCAGAAGTTGCCAGGAACGCTCCATTTCCTTCCAGATCGGAGCTTAAGCCGCTTCGCTATTCGAAACTCTCTTTGAGCTTGAATTTTCTAATTATTTCTCCTTCCTCTCTCCTGTCGATCCCACTCGGTCCCCATTGTCGCCCCCTAATGGTGCCATGACCAGGCTGACGACTGGTTTCCTTGCTGAATCAACAATTGATCGGAAGGGTGCTTGCTTCGATTTGGCCTCTCTCCCTCCTCTCCCCCGCTCCGTCGGTCCCCGTTCTGTGCCCCCTAATGGTGCCATGACCAGGCTGACGACTGGGTCCCTAGTTGAATCAACAGTTGATCAGAAGGAGGCTGACACCGGTTTCCTCCCTTGCAGGTTTGAGTCGTTCGATCGGTCGTGCCTAAGTTTCTCCGCCTTTTCCATTCCTGCTCTTCCTCTTCTTCCTCTCATTGTCTTCTCGCTTCTTCCTCTCCTCTTGCCGTTTGAAGAGCGCGCCCTGTCTCCACCATCTTACATGCTGCCGCATCCTTTCGCTTCACCCTTTAGATCCGCTCTTCAAGCGTTTGTAGCGTTTCGTCCTCCGTCATGCTGGACATTCTCGAACCGGCCTCTTTGCTCCACCATCGATGTGGCTTTGGGATTTCCAGTGTGCTGGAGCGCTTTCCAGTATTCTTCCGACGCTTTTCCGCCATTTCCCGCTTTGCACTGCTTCCTTTGCACTCGCGCACGTGGTTACACGTATTTGTGCCCACGATATTCACAGCACTTCACCGCACTCCTATAACACTTTCCCAATACTACACCGTATTTCTTGCTTGTTGCTAATTATTATTATTCATTACTTGTTTATTAATCTATTAATCACTTCACTATTTATTAATTAATGTATTTAATTTATTAGCTAATCATTAATTAATTAATTAATTAATTCGCCATCTTGCTTGTTGTCGCGTACCTCCGCTTCGCCCTTAGGCCTCGTCCTTAAGAACCACTCTCCATGCGCCTGCAGCGACCCTTCCTCGATCATGTTGGATATTGCGAAGCGGCCTTTTCGCTCTGCGCTTTACCTCGCGCGGAGATGCCCACGTGTTCGTTCGATACATCGAAGTTTACTCGATCGATCTTTTTGAGTAACTTCCACAGAGTCTTTAGAATATTTTATTTAAATGAAAAAAACGTATTAAACTTTATGAAGAAAATACATTGAACCGCTCGTTTTCTATGCGCGACGACGACTGCACGCGG